TCATGTAGATCCTCCTTATATATATATATATCAATGAATCAAATCTATCATGGACTAGAAAATATTGTTTATGTTTCATGTTTTTTTTTTTTTGTTTGTGAAAGAGCTTAGCACAAATATTTTGATTTCTTGTTCTAGGGTAGAGATCAAACATTTTAGTACAGAAGATGACCTTCTTTCAACTAAACATTCATTATAATCAATTAAACTTAAAATGTTTAGTACATATGGAGTCAATTATATTTTCTTAAGATCAATGTTTAAAATTGTGCAATTGGGTATTGAAAAATTTTTCATTCGTAAGGCAAGGTGCTAGCCTCAAGGCATTTTGAGGCATAAGCCTCAAATTTAAAAATATGAGTAAATTAATAAATATTATATATACTATAAAGTATGAAGAAATAAATAATATATTAATACTCTAATTTATTAATAATTAGAAAGTAATATACCAACATTCTAACTATGTAAAAAGTGATTAATTTTGTAAAATTAGAAGTAACGTTAATATCCTAGCTTCAAATTATGAAATAAGATCGGTTATATTAACATTAAACTATCAGTGTAAGCTAAGATATTAAAATAAAACATTGAAAAATTAAAACATTACAATCAAAATAAGTTCAAAATTAATCTTTCTCTCTCACTCATACTACCTTCGACTTGAACAAGAATATAACAAATCATCAACATTTGAATTTTTAATTTTCTAGTTTCTATTATTCTCATCATCCAATTGATTTTCAAAAGAATATTAACTATGTTTAATGAAATCTATTGAACATTTGGAATCTACTAAACAATTAATTTTCTATTTTTTAATGAATCAATAAAAACATAGTTAAAATATTAACTATGTTGATAATTAGAATTTCAACTATATAATTTTTTTTGATAGAGTTTTCTTTTATTTTTTTTATTATTTAGTGTGCGAGTTATGAATGTTGATCGATGAGGTATATTAATAATAATTTTAGTTTTGTTAAAAAAATTTTGGATAACCTAAATAATTTTAGGTATTTTTTACACACGAGACGTGCCTTAAGACGCGCCTCACCTTGGGACAACAAGTCGTAAGCTTCGTTGTGATTTTTTGGTAAAAAAGCGTTGAAACAGGCCCCAAGGTGCACCTCATATTGTGCAATTCTAAACAAGGGTCAAGTTGAAAAATACTTAATAGGTTAATATTGAAATCAAAATATATGAAATTGTACATGAATTGAATGTAAAAAAACTCAATAAGTCTAATAAATTAATAATTGAGGTTAAACCTTTAAGTATGACATAATTGCATTAATAATTATTGTTAACGCCTAATCAAGTAACTGAAGGCAAATTTAATGAAATCTATTGAACATTATGAATCTACTAAACTTGTTAATATAAAAACTATATAATGAACGAACATTGGCCAAATTAACTTTAAGTTAATCTGACTTACTTAAGTAAACAATGCTATAAGTAAAATTGTAAATAAATGTTATTTGATTGATACATGGTGAACCACTTAAATATTTGAAAAATCAAGTCAAATAAATTTGTAGAAAATTTCAAAGGATAAACAAACAACAACCCACAACAAGCTTTAATCCCACTAAGGTCGGCTACATCAATCATTTTCTCCATTATGTCATATTGAGTGCCAAATTTTTATATAATTCTAATAGATTAAGATTATTTTATATACAATATGCAAGTTTTTTAGGTGTACCTTCGCCTATCTTAACATAAGTTGAATCTAAAACATCGACTCTCCTAATTGGATCATCAGATGGTTGACGTTTAATGTGACCAAATCATTTAAGATGACTCTCTCTAAATTTTTCTGCCACTGGAGCTACACCATCCATTTTATGGGTAGATTCATTTCATATTTTGTTTCTAAGTGTCAAGACACTCATCCGCCAAAGTATTCTCATCTAAACAACACTTAACTTTGTTTTATGCTTCTCTTTTAAATGCCAACATTTTACACCATAAAGCATTGTTGGTCTCACCATCATCTTATAAAATTTTCCTTCAAGTCTAAGAGGTAATTTTCTATTACACAATAAGCCCAATACATTCCTCCACTTCAACCAACCAACTTGAATTCTACTAATAACATCCCCATCTATTTCACCATCACTTTGAACAATATACTTGAGCTCTCTAAAACGATCACATCTTTTAATGATTTGATCACCCATAGTAACAACTCTGCCACTAAAGCTGCTGCTACTAAAATTACATTCGTTGTATTTTGTTTTAAATCTACTCAAACGAAGGCTTTTAGACTCCAATGTAGACCTCCATAATTCATGCTTTTCTTGAACTATTTCTTTAGTCTTATCCACAAGAAGGATATCATCAGCAAAATGCATACACCAAGGTACATCCTCCTGTAAATGTCCAGTAAGAGCATTCTTAACTAAAACAAAAAAGATATGGGCTTAAGGCCAATCCCTAATGTAATCCAACTGAAATAATAAAATTCTTGTTCAATCCTTCTGTTGTTTGAACATAAGTAATAACTCTAGTATAGATATATTTAATGGCTTAAATATAAGTCATATCAACATCTTTCTTCTCTAGAAATCTCCAAAAGACTTCTCTTGGGGACTTCTCTAGAACCTTATTGTAAGTTTTTTCTAAATCAATAAAAATCTCATGTAGATCCTCCTTACTCTTTCTGTACTTCTCCATCAAACCTCGCAATAAATATATAGCTTCCATAGTAGTTTTCCCCGACATAAATTGAAACTATTTATGAGAAATATTTGTATCACTTCTTACCCTATATTTAATTACCCTCTCCCATAATTTTAAAGTATGTTGCATCAACTTAATTCCTCTATACTTTGCACACTCTTGTGCATCCCCTTTATTCTTAAAAATGGGGATCAAAATACTCTTCCTCCACTCCTCAGGCATTTTTCTTTAGTTTTTAAAATAATATTAAAGAGTTTAGTAAGCCAATAAGTCTCAAATCTCCTAAATATTTTTACACTTCAATCGGGATATCATATGATCCTACTGATTTTTTACCCTATGTTTTCTTAAAGCCCCCTCAGCTTTTTATTTACCAATGCAACGATAAAAATAAAATGTTTTATCATTATTAATGATATCAAGATCAGTAAGGTCATTTGTATTTTCAGAACTTCATTAAAAAAATTATCAAAATAGCTTGGCTACCTACATTGAATAACTTCTTCTAAGAAAAACACTATTTTGATTTTCATCTTTGATACATTTTATTTGAATAAGCTCTTTACGTTTCTTTTCTCTTTGTTTGACTAGTTACATGCATTTTTTACCCTCTTTAGTATCTAATCTATTATAAAGATCACTAAAAATAGAATATTTAGCATCACAAATTGCTCTCTTAGACTCCCTACTGGCCACCTTATATTTTTTACAGTTCTCTAAGCTTTTTTATTCAATCCAATTTTTATAACACAACTTCTTATATTTTATATTTTCTTGCACATTATTATTCTACCCCAACTATTTTAAGAATATTTTTAATTACTCTGTTAGTTATTGAGTGAAGGACTGAAACTGAGAAAAATAAGTTTTACGAGATTTCGTAAGAGTACATAAAATCAAAGATGGTTTCATAATGGATTATAATTGTCAGTATACGAACCATGGAATTTTTTATGCTGCAAATCTCCCCATATTTGCCATGCCAGCCTCCATCGAGACCTGTAGGAATTTTGAAGACTTCTTGCAAGGGTAGGCTGTATCCTTAACTCCTAATTGAAAGCGATAAATGAGTTGTTGGAACAAGTTCTAGTAGTTCTGTGAACAAGCTAACAAATAAAAAAGAATGTTGATCTCTCAAATCAAAGACAGCAAGCTTTTAAACATATGAACAACATAGAATTTGTTGAAAGATTCCTGTACCTTAAAGGTTTTCTCCTTATTATAGCATTGACCTGAAATTCCTAACTAGTCGTTGAACCTCTTTGAATTTCTAACTACTTTCTTTTTCCATAGGCTTCAGGAATTCATCAAGAAACACAATCAGGGCTTCATTTTTTTCTTCTCACTTTGATTGGTAACTCTCTGGCCGCTTCACTTATGTCTTACAAGGTTAGTCGAGAGCTTATCCTAGGATGTTAAATAACCCACGACTCTGATACAATAGTTAATTGATTGTGGAACCATAGCGGAAATCATCAGAGAAGGATGTAGAAGCTGGGTGCACTGATGGCGGTAGAGTTCCCTACTCCACGGAGACCTTGCTTCTCTTTCCTTTCCACCGACACCTCCATTTCCTCTTCTTTCCTTCACCAGGGAATTTTCCTCAAAACCAAGATAAAACCTGAGAATAAACTACCAAAAAAATATTTTGTTTTTTAGGTGATGGGGTATAAATATGCTAGCCTCCTTTAATAATGCTTACACTTTTGATTGCAATAATACCTTATAAAAGAAATAAAAGGAGAATATGTCCAATATTAAAATTCAAAAATGAAAAGGACCCTCAAATGTTGTTATACTTATGGGGTGTGTATTTCATCCCTGATATCTTTAAGAATTTTTTTTGTTCATTATGGGGTGCTAATCATGTTGGAAGTCGCTGAGATGTTCATATGCTTGGTGAATCAATTTGATGGCTATCCTCCTTGTTTTTGATGACTCGAAAAGGACACTTCGTTATGGGTTTACGTTTGGCAAGATGCCTTGGAGGAAATTTTTAGTTTATAAATTGATCCACACTTGATCACCTTCTTTAAATAGACTTAGGTACAAGATTTGTTAGTCTGTGTTTGATATTGAGTGCTTTTTTAAGATCATAAGCGTTAAAAATGGGATTATTTGGAATCCACTTTAAAAAGACCATGACTTGTGGGTGGGTGGATGGATGATTGATGGATAGATAGATAGATAGATAGATAGATAGATAGATAGATAGATAGATGGATAGATAGATAGAAAGATAGTCGGCATGCCCAAAATTAAGCCAAGGTTTATGAACATATTGGTGAAGGCTTGTTGCGCCTAGTATGAGTAACTTTCTTGTGCCTTAGGCCTATCTGGGAAGATTATGTGTGAGTTTACCCATGGGTCTTAGATAACCCATGACTTTAGTTCAACATTTAATTGATGATGGAACAATACTGACAATCACAAGGATGTAGATCCATGTCAGTGATGGTTGCAGAGTGTCCAACTCCACTACAGCATCTTACATCTTCCATTTCCCTTCTCTCAAAGCAAGGAATCCTCCTCAAAATTAGGACAAAATTGAAAATAAGCTGCTGAAAAACTATCTTTCTTTGTAAGAGGAAGGGGGGTAAATAGGCTAATCTCCCTTAGTAACCTTAGCACTTTTTATTATAAAGCTGGACTTATTAAAGAAAGAAGAAGAAAAAAGGTTCAATAACCATAGAGCTATATCATAGGGTTGTTAAGATTTGTAATAAAGCCATTTTGACCTCAGTTGAAGATTGGCTTGATGTCATTTCATCTTATATTTAGCTATGTTCTCCATTAGAACTCAATTTGATATGCCTCATTAACTTTGATTCTAGTTCAATTCAGCAAGAAATTACTATTTTTTTATCTCCAAAGATAATTTGTTAGCCCAACATACATGGATATATTCAAACTTAAGTTGATACAAAAATAAATGTGTATATGCATTTTTCTATGCATGCTTATACCTTTTGATTTGATCTAGACTTGACCTAATTCAAGTTTGAGTACAGCCGGCCTTGGCTCATTGAGTTTGATTCAATTCAAAATCCAATCTGATTTTAGAACAGTTTTTAATCTTTGAAACAGTCATAGCCCTATGCTATTGTTTGGATTAGAGACAGGGATGCACATTTATGTTATCATCAAGACCTTTCAATCTTTTGCATAGGAATCAATGTTTGGGATGAGAGAGAGGATGATACATTCCCTTTGAACAGTCTTACTTGATATCTTCAATAAAAAAGTCAGTTGAAATTTGTGCGTCAATTGGTTGATAAGGTCTTGGTGAGTTTCAGTAATGCCAGTTAATGCCATTGTGTTGGTTGTTGGATGGATAATTTTCCGTAGATTGTAATACTACACATAAATGCTTGGGTATTGTTAGAAATATAGTTACATTCTTAACCCCTCTTAACCCCAAAAAAAAAAAAAAATCTTCTCTCATATTCTTGCAGAAGTTCCCCCTTATTACCTTTGTTTCCATTATTTTCTTGGAATAATGTGGTTTACAAGACCACTGTAGTGGATACAAAATATTAACAATTGGAAATTAGAGAGAAAATCTATATGGTTGTATAGAATAGGATCCAGTAATTCTTCATCATATGCTAATGTTATAGCCATTGTCGTGTGCTTGTACTTTTTGCATCTGTTTATCTCCGACAAATATTGAAACCTATTGTCTTGTACAATTGTGATTTGTCTTGAGAATTTAAAAAGCCTCTTTTCTTGAAATTTTTTTTCACTTCCCTAATCATTTTTTGGCATAAACAAGAGGTATCTGAGTGGATTGAACTTTGACATTGCATGTTTCTTCCTCATCTTAACTGAAGTTCAATGATATGTGCATGCTTTATGGAAAATACTATTGCTTTGGATAAAAAGGAGAAGTGAAATAGTTAGTTTAATATTATTATCTTTAATCCAAAGAGTTTTGGATAGTTTCATCTTATTATGGCTTTGCTGCAGTCTTTTTCAGGGAAAGGCATGAACTTCACAGCATTTATGTTCGGAGTTCGGCAAGGGTTTATGAGATATATCATGCTTCTGATGGTGAAGTTTCCAGTAATGAATACTTGTGTACTGTACGATGTGGAACTGCTCTGCAAGAAGTAAGACAAGATATGTGCGAGCGGGCTTCGGCTGAATATATTTATTCAGATTTTCCCAGGAGTAATAGCAACAATTTTTTGGAAGATGGTTGGGTAGAAGTTGAGGTTCCTGATTCACTACTAGAGGATAATAGAAGACCTTCCATGTCACATATTTCTGTGGAAAATATTTGTCCCAAAACAAAGGTTAGCAATGTTAGCCTGTTTGAACTACAATTACTTCATTTATCCATTTACATAAAAATACTTCTCAATTCTTATTTCTTTACATATCTAACATCTAAACTTCAATTTGTACGAGTATGCCACCTTACCAATGTATAAAAATGTGTATTTTAAAAATGTGTATTTTACAATGTATAAAAATGTGTATTTTACATTTTAAAAGTTAAAATAATGGTATTTTTGATGTGATATGAGAGATTTATGTCGTGTACATGTAAAAATCAAACTTTAGATGTTAGATGCGTAAATATATTGGGTATATATATGTAAATTTCCCTTTTTTTTAATTTCTCTCTCTCACTAAATGTAATTTGTAGATGCAATACGAGGCCACGGCTGAGATTTCAGATGCTAGTCCTTGTATGTCTATTACGCTTCGTTTGCTTTCACTTCAGAATAAAACATCGATTCATATAGACGAGATATACATATATGCTGATCCAGTTGAAGATATTGATCCGGATCCGCCAGTTAGTAACATTGGAGCGAGCTCTTTGTTGTCAATGATTGTGCCCAGTCTTCTGCAGTTATCTAAGTCCGGAACCTCCAGATTTCAACAGGAAGGCTTTTCTGATGTATTGGAAGGGCCAAAATCTATATTCTCTACAGAGGGAGCAATTCACGCAGTTTGTCCAAATAAGTTTGAGGTGTCAGAAGTGGAAGCATCATCCTCTATGTTGGGAAATTCTAAGGTTGTGCTTGATCAACAAATCAATGAGGAAATGCAGGATCCAGGACAGCCTTCAAAGGCCAAAACAGATGAAAATAATCGATTTCGGTGTTGTGTTGTGAACATTTTGGATGAACCAGTTGTCAGGCATACCCAACCAAATCTTGGGGATGAAAAGTTGAGATTGATAGAGGAAGAAAAAGGTTTGGTTCAGTCACCAATTGCTATAAATAAAGAAACTAATGCTCCTTATGTTCGTCTTGAGCAGATCTTGAATGATCTGGTATCTAGAATGGGGAAATTAGAGACTTATTGCATAAGTTTTCAGGAAAGCATGCTTAAGCCCCTTGCTGGGATTGAGATGAGGCTTCAGAGGATGGAGGAGCAGCTAGATGCCCTTTCTAAAGTGCCTGTGTCATCTGAAACGTACTTCAGGACAAAGACTTCATGTCTTTCTGATCATGACTCTAACTTTGAAAATGAAGGTGTTAAATCTTCGTTTGCTGCAGTGGAATCTACTTCTCACGAAAAAGAAGCATCAGTTGATCTGTTGATGGTATCTTCACCTGAATCTGAGAAGATCTCAGGACTCGTAGTCAAAGCACCTGAATTTCCTTCTGATGATGATGACAGTGTTGAAGATGAATCCAATACTGGCTGTTCTATAGATTTGAAACCGAATAAGTCCCCTCAAAATGGCAAATGCAATTCCATTGACAGTGCTTTAGCTTCCGCTCTAGCGGCGTTCGTCACATCAACCACTGACAAATCCTCTTTACATAACTCACTTCCAATGGATGTGCCCAGCGAGCAGCAAAATTGTGACGACCACTTCTTAGATTCTGTTGCTGTTGCAGTTCATTCAGAAGCTGATAGAATTTCAGTTCCTGAGTGGTTTATAGGAGATAAAAACGGCGATGTGCTAGATCAAGGCCAGGATGAAATGCGTGAGAGTGTAAAAACCTGTTCAGATGTGGTCAATCCTAACATCACATCAAACGAGTTTGATATGATTGATGGAACAGGAGCAAAGGTGCATGGTAACTATTTATCTGATGAATCTATTCTAGTGGATGAAGATGATTCATCAGCTGAAATTGAGACACATGAGTCTAATGGTTTCATAATTAGGGCACCGGAGTTTCCAAATAAAGATGATATTCTTGACTGTGGTGAAAATTCTGAGCCCAATGTCTGCAATTACCCCAGCACACATTCACATACCCTCCCTCATTCTCGTTTAACTCCTTTAGCATTATATCTATCCTCAAGAAAGGTTATTGCCTCCCGAAACTACTCGAAATTACAGGATGACCAATTAGAGCTATCTTCATCTGATAGAAGTAGCCTTTCATTAACTTCCGAAGCTCAGGGAGGTTCAACAGCTGATTCATCGCTACTGGACTGCTTTCTTTCTCAAGGAGGTTCACCGCAGCAGCTAGATATTTTCCACGCCACAGCAGTTATTGGAGAAGAAAGTTCCAGCACCGTACATCCTGGCATGGAAGATGCTGATCATGTTTTGAAATGTGATGGATTTCATTCCCATGGAACGAGCAAAGTTTGTCCTTTCACACATAATCTACTGCTCTACAATGGACTTCATACAGACAGAAGCAGCATTTGTATCCAGGATAAGGAATTCTGGGTAAGTGGGTCTGAGTTGCGAATTGGTAAATTTGAGGCCGCAGGCACACCAGTTTTTGAGGACATTTTCTTGAGCAGTAAACTGCTTCCTCAATGCTATGATTCAAATGGCATGGATTCTTTCATTGGGGACAACAGTGGAAACTCTGAAACTGTAATCCAATGTCAATCTCTTAACGTCATTAAGCAGACAAAATCCCTCTTCAAGCCTATGCTGGCTTCAAGTTTCATTCCAAATCAAGATGATTCAACCACCAATGTCGAATTTTCCGCAGATAAAAATTTAAGAAGTTGGCTTCCCCTTGAAATCCTGCTGGATGAAAAACAAGAAGTTGATCCAAAGAAGGATGATCTGCTTAAATTTGTGCAAGAATCTTCTGTGGATGGAAATTTGAGAAGCGGGCTTCTTCAACTGGATAAAAATCCAGATGATCAGGTGGAGAATAGTGACTATGGTATTGATGAGTATAATATTGAACAAAATTCGAAACCAGCCCATGGCTTCAGACACAACAACTATGAAATAGCTGAAAATAATCTATTGGATATAGAAGATAATGTTGTCCAGTTTGAGATGGCCATGCCTGGTACTCCGCAGAATCCTGCAAGCTTCAGCAGTGAAAATATCACCCCAAGCCTCATATAATATTTTTACTCTGGAAAAGAATGCGCAACCGAGATCCAATTGTACATAGAACATGTGAAGTTTTACAGATTAATGGCAGACCTTGGCTGACAGTTCGATTCTTGTGGCGTAGAGATTATAGATTTGAATCTGAAAATAACTTTTCCACCGCAGCAACAAAGCTTCATCCCTTCTGAGTTATCCTAGTGATGAGAGTATTCTGAAATAAAGGAACCCAGCTATGTAAATATTTAATGTTGCCTGGTGATGACTAATAAGTTTACATGTTAAGCTTATTTCTCCTCTACTATTGGCCGTGAGGCCGTCTGTGTGTGTATGTTGGCCAAAGTCTAGCCAATAATGCTTGTTTTATGAGCTTAATTGTGTCATTAGTGTGTCATAAAATTGTTACAATTATGTTGTGGGTGCAGTAGTTGGCCTGATAAATTCTCAGTTATGCTTGTTATTTCAAGATTGCTCATCACTTTTTGGCTGCCTAGTGCCCCCAAGTTGTCGATTGTGGCATTGTTTAGCTTTTAAATAAATTCAATTAGTGCCTGGTTTAATAATTTAGTCTTCAGTTAAGCACTTGTTTAATAGGTTAGTTAATATTACATCTGTTTATACTTTTTCTACGAGGTATGTTAATAAATGTTTACTTAATATAACTAAATTATGAGGCAATCTATTATAGGTTTAAGCCTTTCAGAATTCATAAACTTGTTACCATGAATACATGAATCCTCAAAAAGGGAGGAGACTCATTTTGTCCAAGCACTGAAGCTGTCGGTCTGTTCATCATTTAACTTGTAAATAAGGGCTTAGGTTTAGTGTTTGACGTAGCAGGATGGTCGTGTTCAATAGTTTCAGGCAACTTCCTTTCTTGAGTCTAGAGTTCAATTTAGCAGATCATGTCTTTCAATTCCTATGTATTTACATGTCTAACACCTAAATTTAAATTTTTACATTTTATGTTTAGGTGTATTAGATATGTAAATACATAGGAATTTGGTGGTATGTATGTAAATACTTATTTATAAATAAAAGACAAATCAAAACGCCATAAGATCTCTTGAATTCGAAAACATCCATGACAACAGATCAGATAATCATATAAACCCTAAACACCATCACATAACAATCATCATCAAATCCTTTTTAAACCAACTAAAATCCACACATTCACTTATGACAGATGCGAGCAGTCGGCATGGTAACGCACACTGGATAATACTTCTTCTTAGCCTCCGGAGTCCCCGGCTTTGGTTCCTCTTCCTCCGCCGCAACCGCCATCATTTCCGGGCGATCTCACAGCCCATATGGCGGCAGCCGCTGCGAGTATCATTCCTCTCCTGCTGTTAACGGTCTCCTTCTCTTTGCACTCTAATTGGTCGCTGCTGCGAGTCGGCGCGGCTTTCTTCTGAGAGCAGATGGTGGTGGTCGTCTTTGCCGATGCGGAGGGGCGGCGATTGATTGATGAGGGCCGAGTGGCGGGGAGGAAGGAGGCTGGTATGGTGAGGGATGCCATTGTTGGTGGTGGATTGAATCTGATTTTTTTAGGGTTTGTTTTTTTTGTTGATAAGGTTGGAGCGGGGAGAATGTGAGGGGGTAAAGAAGGAAGTGTTTGAGTGAGTAGGATTATCTTATCCTGTTCCTTTGATGAGATGGCCAATGGGAGGATTCCACTTGGATTTAGCTTTTAGGAGATTTTAAGTGGCTCAAGTTGTTTCATGAGATAAATTATTACTTCCCAAAGAGTTACATTTAAATTAAGTACAAATATTAATATTTTACATGTTATTGGTAGTATTGTGGTGGTATCGTGGTAAAATAAAATCACAATACTATTAATAATATCTAAAATACACCTAGTGGTATCTACGAAGATGTAATATTTTCTCGTTCCACAAACAACAAGAAATCAAAGTTGTAAAAATTAGATCAGACATCGAGCTAGAAGAAATAAGTGTGCAAGGTTAAATGGTTCAACCGGAGTTGAACTGGATGAGATACTAAATATTTAAATTATTTTAATTTAATTTAAATGATAGAATAATTATATATTAATATCATTTCTTTTTCAGCTTAACAAATAATATTTTAATTTAAAACAATACTTTTGAAGAATTTGAATAATATTTAAAATAAAAAATTTAAGACATGACATTTTCTCTATTTTTAATTTGAGTATATTATTTAAGACAATTCAATTAAAATCAAAATGCTAAAATTGGATAATATTTGAATCAATTTGTTCTATAAAAATTAAATTGATTCATCGATTCGTTCTTTAGTTTAACTTAGTTCTAACTGGTTCAATGACTAGCTCATCGTTGAATCGATTGAGTTCTTTATATTTGAATAACCTAGGGCAAAAACTGTTTTAAGATTGGGTCATACCGGCTCAAATGAATGACTTATTGTTGAACCGATTGAATCAGCCAGTCCAATCAGATTCTTAAAACCATGAAAAAAATGATATAAAAATAACTTAATTTTCAGTGAAGTTGTTATTCACATAAATTTATAATGTTAATATATATATATATATATATATTAAATTGAATGTGTTGAACACATAAATGATTTGTCTGTATTGATTTCTTTTATGTGCATGATTGATTATAATGAAGTCATCCCTTTATGATACTAGTGGGGAAACAATCAAGTACTCATGAATGAAAATGAAAAAAAATATTGATATTGCAACACCTTAAATAATGTTAGTTTTATATATATATATGAATAGTTTTCGACCGCTTGTAGGATATCTTCTGTTATTATCCTCTTGTTGGCTGAGATACTCAATTACACGCTGCCACGTAGATTGAGGTTGCGTGGGAGACATCGGTAGAGCCGTATTTGAAAGAAACATAAAATGTGGATTATATGAACATAAATCAATTTATAATTGAAGCTTTCAACTTAGACCAATGAACTCAACAAAGCTCAAGAGTATCCCCCTCATGATATCATTAGAGTGTTAAAAGGTTGAAAAATATTATACAATCAACAAAAAACCATTTCCTATTTCTTACTATTATGCCCCTTAAAACGCTATAAATATGTCACACCTCCATATATTTTGAGAAGGCTGGGATAGTGCTACATTAAAAATCTCAATGGAGAAAATGAAGAGCTCTTTTTGCTAAAAGTTGATGACAATCAGCTAAGGCCTATGGATCTTTATCAGCATTATTGAATTTTGATCTTATACATCAAAAATATGTCAGTGCTGATCCTAAGGAGATCTAACAGTACGATGAAGGAGAGTCCACTGATAGAAGACCATTATGCACACTTATTTGACTCAGTAAAGCCGTCCAAGTCACTAAAGACGACTGAATGATATGTGTCTGAGTCGTTTGGTCAGAAACGAGACAATGAGACATCCAAGTCAATTTGAATGAAAGAGTCAACTTGAGAGAAGTCAATTTACATGAAGAATTAATTAGACCGTCAGTATCTCTAATCATACTGGAGATGCCCCCCTCATCTATTATCAAGAGAAAACAACCAGACTAATTCAATCAATCGAACCAGCCCTACAGAACTGCAGGCAAGCAAACTCAGCCGACCAAGCCATACAACCTATAAAATATCAAGAATAACATGTACAACCTCTATTAAAGAAGAGGAAAAAATGTATCATTTCAATATTGTACCCTCTCACCAATAAATAGGGAGATCATTTTCTGAACAAGGAATAGTCAAATTAGCCAAAAAGAACGAGAAATGGTTTGAGTGTCAAAGATCGAGTCATTTCTGATGGACAAATCAGGATTCAACATAACTATATGTGGATTTGCTTCTCAATAAAAGAGTTGGAAAAAAGGGAGAGTGAACTAAATACGAGAAAATCATTCTCTATTAGGGAAGAAAAGTTATTTGAGATACAGTCTCCAAGGATCGATCCATACTTTGTTAAATGAAATTTCAACTATTTAAAGAGATCTTTTTTCATATATTACAGAATATGCATTCAATACACGCTAGTCTAAAAATCTTTGATTTATCCCTTTTTGTCATCTTTTGTTCTGACATCATAATTAAAATTATTTTTAGTCGCGCCAAATCTCAACGCCTATTCCACATAAATCTCATCGGGTCACATCTTTATAAGCCTATTCGGCCTTCTTGATAATCCAATGTTGAGCAATTTAGCTTCAGGGCGAGTTACACTTCTAACTTGGGCATCTCTTAGAAAATGAAGTGGATCTGATCTTACGGTGGATGGGTGAGCCAATTCACGATATGCGAATTGATACCTGACACTCTTGTAGCTGGTACTAGATCTATACTTGGTGCCTAGCACTCAACTGCTCGATCTGTGGAAAAATTATTAGGTGTAGATTTCTCACACATGCGGTTTTTGTTGTATTTTGATTGTATTAGTTGTATCAATACAACTACAATACAACAAAATCCATATGTACGTATTCCACACCTAATACTTGTTCCAATCTATGAGAACTAGGCAAGGGAATTCTACAATTTGACTTTGCACGCTATTTAACACTTGAGTTTGAGTTCAATTAAATGGCATTTATCTTTTACAGCTGCTGTGCGCTTCAGGTGGTGGTGCAGTACTTCACCGTAATATTTTATGTTTGGCAAAACTGTGTTTTGCCTGCGTTTTTAAAAAACTAAAGCTGAAAGCTGCGTTTAGCTGTGTTTTCTCACCACGACTGGCTATCTGCAGTGGTTGTTAGAAAGCTAGAACCTGATTTTTTTCAAAAAGACTTTTTTGAAATAGCCACAACTTTTTTAACATCATTTTCTTCTTCAACAGCTTCACAACTGCTTTTTTAAACAGCTACAACTGTGTATAATTACCAGTATGTATGTGACAGATAAAGGAAATATACAAAAATGAGTACGTGACAGATAAAGGAAATATACCCACAAATAATAAAAAAAATTAAAAAAAAAAACACTCAAAATCCTTGGAGAAAAGTTCGGATTCACATCTGATAGTTATTAAATACATTTTCATCTCTGATGTGTGCACAATAAAAAATGCTATTATCGTGAAGTTTATCTTTGATTTGAGAGCAAATATATCTGCACAAAATAAACCACAAATGGGAACAATTAAACCACTTAATTGCTATGTATCTACATATTTAAAACCAAAACTTTACTTTTTACATTTATACCACCTAAATCCTTCATGACACATCAAAAATAGCACTTCTTTTCTTTTAAAAGTGAAATACTCAGTTTCATCATAGAAAAGATGGTAAAAATGTAAAAATTTAAGCCCAGATTTTAGATATGAATGTAAATCTTCTCAAAAATAATACTTCTCTGAGCAAAAATTTAGATGCAATATTTTTTGCCGAAAATGGCATGATTGATCTGTGGCTATAATGCATTTAATTTGAGTATTTTTTTTACTGGGCCGCAGGGCTTTAAGCATAAAATCAGTGCATAATTCCTTTGGAGTTGCATATGACAACAAGAAATATCCCAAGTATGTTCAGACATCAAGGTACAGCTAATAGCACGCTTTTTATGAATTGCTATGCTTATAATTACCGACAAGGCTGTAGTGAAACATATCTTTGTGAAATGAAATTATTTCTGAAGAGATTCTCCTCATATGTTGGTGAATTTTTTTGGGCAACTTCAACAATCAATCATCTACTACTTGAAGCTCCACTACACATTTGAAATGAGATGGTTTTCTTGGCTCACACCAGAGAACTACCAGGTATTGAGAGCGCAAATCATGAAAATCAGTACTGCCAGTGGCTTCCTTGGCTTTCTTGATGGCAGCACTTCATGTTCTGCACAATTTCATCCTGGAGGCCAAGAAAATCCACAATTTCAAAAGTGGATTCTCATAGATCAAAATGTCGCTGCATCCCTCTACTCCACTAATCTCACCAACAGTTCTACTTCATGTCATCAATCTCCAAACAACAGCAGATACTTGGACAACCCTGGAAAAACGATTGCAACCTACTAACCGGTCCGTGGCAATACGATTGAAGAATGAACTGCATCATCTTGCCATGAAGGATAAATATATGGTTTAGTATCTCACTGAAGTGCGTACGTTGGTAGATCATATCAATGCCGTTGGATCTAAACTTGATCAGGAAGATGTTATTCTATATATCTTGAATGGACTTCCTCCCACTTATAATGCATTCAAAAGTGCAATTCGGACAAGAGCACAACGATGTAGTGGAAAGAAAACATCGTCATATCATTGAAACCGCTTGGACCTTACTTCAACTTCCCTATAAGTTCTGGATACAACTGTACATCTTATTAATCGGATACCCACAAGAACAACTAAATACATATCCCCCTATGAACATCTTCATAAATCTTCACCATCTTATACTCATCTAAGGGTATTTGGCTGCTACCCATGGAGAAATCCTCCGGCATCACATAAATTCAAACCAAGATCAGTCTCATGCATCTTCCTTGGGCACTCTCTTCAACACAAAGGATATAAATGTTTTCATCCTTCTACAAATAAAATCATACATGGTATTTGATGAAGATTCCTTCCCATTCCATTCGGCTACCAACACATCTAATCCCACTAAAACAACTCTTAAGTCCACCATTTCACCCATCTGACTTACACCCATCAGATATTCCTCTAACCCAACTACTCCACAGCACCATGTATCAATACCGAACTCCACCCACTCATCCTCCACATCTACCCAACCGAAGCCTGCATTAACACAGAATCCACCCATACCAGTCTCCCACACAATATTTCGCACATTCAAGCAAACTCCCCTCCTATACCACCTATTCCCGTCCCAGTGATTCCACCTTGCCATCCGATTATCACCCATTCTAAAATGGTAAATATTAAACCAATCCATAAACTTAATCTCCTTCATCAAACCATGATACCTCCAGATCCCACCACCTATAAAACTGCCTCCAAGATCCCTCATTGGCAACATGCTTTGCAAGAAGAATTTGATGCTCTTCAGAAGCAAAAAACATGGGTTCTTGTTCCTCCACCACCAAACACTACTATCCTTGGCTCATGATGGACATATACTACCAAGCTTAATTCACAAGGCACGATTACAAGGTATAAAGCTAGACTTGTTGCTCAAGGCAGTAGACAAGAGTATGGTATTAATTACCTTGAAACATTTAGTCCGGTGGTGAAACTTCCTACCATTCGCATACTCTTTACAGTGGCACTACATCACAAATGGGACATCCTACAATTTGACATATCCAACGCGTTCCTTCATGGTACACTCAATGAAACAATATACATGAAGCAACCTCCGGGGTTTCATGACCCTCAATTTCCTAAACATGTGCCGTCTTAAAAAATCCTTATATGGAATAAAACAATCGCTCCATCAATGGTTTTCAAACCTCTCCAAATTATTTACTTCCAAGGACTTTCAAGTTAGCAAAGCTGACCCCTCTCTTTATCTATAATCACAACAAGATCGCTATATTTGCTATTATTTATGTGGATGATCTACTGATTACGGTTAATAATCTCGAGTTCATCTCACATCTCACCAAGGCTATGGCAGCGCAATTTCATCTCAAGCAAATGGGGACCTGTGAGCTGTTTTCTCAGTATAGAAGTGTATAAATCTGACAGTTACAACTTCCTAAATCAGCAATGTCCCATTCTTCAGTTGCTCGAGACAGCCGGTATACAAAACAATAAGCCCCTCTCTACTCCAAAGCAAGTGCGTCTTACAGGATTGAGTAAGCAAAGTCAGCCCTTTCATAATCAGCAACCCTACCGAAAACTTATCGATGCTCTTCAATACATCGCGGTAACACGTCCTGACATAGCTTATGCAGTCAATCGCCTTTGTCAATATATGCATCGCCATTTCCATTTCTTAGGTTTGAATCTCAAGAACAACTACAATGTTTATCTTCCTCAGCTCTCAAAGTAAACACCCTACTCTGAGCATTACCTATTAATTTGGTCACCAAACTAGAAAACTCAATCATGAAATCTAACAATTTGTCCCATCCTGATTCAGATGATTGGTTTCTCAACACTCACATCTGTGCAAGCACATCTAGTGACTCAACACAATGTGCATAAAGTAAAGGGCAAAATATAAATTAATCTTAAGCAACCTATATATCTATCTCTTATCCCTCGATAATTTTTATAGCCTATATTCACTATTTTGATGCCCAAAAAAAAAAGGTTGTTTTGAGCCCAGCTGATTTGAGCTACTATATAGAGGCAGGTCAAACCATATTGAGTTATAATAATCAATTAATTTCCCAAGATCTAATTGAAGTAATCTCTTCATTATTAGTAAGCAAAAATATCAACATACATACATTCACATCACTAAACTATATAATAAAATTAAGATACATACGACAGTCAAGAAACAATCTTTCAGTTAAATATATACATTATCATGATTGTAAAAAAATATATCTATAATAAAAAAACATATCTAAGATTAGGAACTTAATAAGAACCATCAACTTTTACTCAATTAGGGCCCCATCCTTTCCTAACAGCAATACACAGGTGAGGAACGAGTGGACAATAGCAACATAATAGATTACTCAAAGCCAACAACAATATTTAAAAAAAAAAATGTATACAAATTCAACATCATATGAACACTAAAGCACACATCAAGAAAATTAAACATTATATCTGAACGTATCACATGTTATGTCTATCAAGCATAATATCAGAACAAAAAATTGTCTTAGTAGTATGTGTTAGAAATAACAATACAGGTTTTTTTTTTAACATAATACCAACAATAAAACAAAATATTAACCTTCATTTGTGAACATTTCATATTTTTCATTTATCTCTTATATGTCCATTTTGAATATTTCATATTTAATAATAGAAATGCTAATCTCTCATCCTTTCACTTCAATACATAGAATACAACCAGCTACCCATCCATACTATCTCCAGTTTTCCACTACTTGTATATGCATTTCAAACACATAAATATCGAAATATCAAGAGTTTTAACATGCACGAATATTATTTAACATGTTATAATAAATCATAAATTTGTTAATATTTTATTAAAATTTCTATCAATATTTATATACTCTATAAAATGCATAAAATATTATACAATATAAAATGTTTGATAAAAAAATTAGCATGTATATATCAATATGACTTAAATAATTAATTTCATAAATGTTAAAAATTACATGATGAAAACTTTCAAAATGTATGTACATCTGAGTTTGTGTAAAATACAATCAAATAAAAAATTAGAAATAACATGAAAGCAAAAAAACTTAAAAATTCAAGCATGATAATGAAAAGTTACCTCAAGCTGACAACTTTCCCAAATGACTCAATAGATAAAATAGTCTCTAAAGCCTTTCTCCCAAAACTATTATATATATAAGGTATGATATAAATTGTTTTATTTTAATTATAAAGTTCATATAAATTTGTTTATCTCTTAAAACTCAATAATCAAAAAGCTATGAATAAAGAACCAAAAAAATAAAAGATATCTAAAACACATTGACAAAAACTGATATACAAAATTAAGAACAAATGGCTCCAAAAACTCACTTTTCCAAAAGATAAGCCAAAAATCAAGTCCAATAAAAATATCTTATTTTCATACCAACAATGCCATAAAACTAATTAAAAATACACATAAAATGGAGACCAAAATGCTATACATAAGATAAAGATGATCTGTAAATCGAATACAAAACACTTTCAAAAAAATTTTAATTGAATGCACTAAGAATATTTTCAACATATCATAGTTATCTCAAAATCAAAATCATATGAAGCAAAAGTCTGCTGCATTTTCGAACTCGGTGGCCTGTAACAGTAGAAGAGGGTTGTGCCTGTCTAAGAGCCTAAGGCAGCGGGAGGACTGAAGTCGGAGGAAAGCTATCAGCTATGGCCGGCCAAAATCAACAGGAAAGTTATCAGCTTTGTATTTCACTTGGCTGCGTTCGCGGAGAAGAGGGCGAAGACGGCCACAACCAGCCAGAACCACTCGGGTTCATGAGAGCTAACAGAAGGGGTGAAAAGTATGTAGTTTTTTATGGAAGGAGAAATTTTAGATGGTAGATTAGTAAATAATAAGGTTTAGGTGTTAGATAGGTAAATAGAATAGTTTTTTTGTGGTATGTATGTAAATTCCCCATAAAAAATAAATATAAATGCAGTACCATCATCAAATTCTATCCAACTTATGTGTGTAAACTCAAAAAGGCTATTTATAGACTTAAGCAGGATTACCTCTCCTGAATCTTGCTCACAAATGTGGTAGATGTCAAGACACATAGGAGTCATAAACCATTTGGAACACTTGTGCCGACCCTATGAGCCTAGGTGACTCATATATGATTCAAAAGAAATCTGATGAAATCTCATTGAATGTCATACATTCATGAAGCAACAAAAGAACTAGTGAAAAAAATAACAATTGAAAAGGGTGGAGACCCTAGTAAAGCCTCATTAGTCTCTGCTTTCATAAAAAAATAAATAAATTTCAGATGAGTTCACGCGTATACAATTATTTCCTTGACAGAACAAAAGACTAATAAAAATACAAAACAACTTCGTCAATCAACCGATGCACATACACATTCTAAAATTAGAATAATTCACTTAATTTTTTTCCGGGTACCTAATGATCCTCTGCAACACCACTGTCCTAGCCTTCCTTATATCCCTGCTACATCGATCAGCCTGCTCACTCAAGTCCTCGATGCTCTTCATGAAATCCCCCAGCTTCTTCTTAATCTCTTGAACCCCAACCTTGAAGGCCTCCTCATCCTTCGAAGCAAATTCTGCAAACTGAAGCAGCGAACTGATCTGAATCTCCAAACTATCAACCAAAACTCTAATATTATCCAAATCCTTGATGGCTACAAAGGTACCAGCCTGCATAGAGCTGATCACCCCCTTCTGCCCCCTCAGCGCATCCTCATACTTCTTCATCAAAGAATCAAACCATTTCCCCATTGATCCCAATGGTATAGACGAGACCGCAGCCAGAGCTGCCGCCACCGGAGGGGCCGCCACAGCAGCAGCCACAACAGAGCAGATCACTACGGATGCAAACGTTGCTGCAAAAATTATGAAGGAGACCTTTCTCCAAGCTTTGACGGACTTGAGCTTCTTATCGAGCTTTCGCTTCCTGAGCTGGAGCTTCTCCAGCATTAATAGCTGCTGCGTATAAACCGCCTGAAACTCCCTAAAGAATTCTTCAGTGAAGGGATTACCAGCAGCTTTGAACTCACTCAGAAGTTCCAACGCCTTCTCGTAATGAGGTTCCTCCTCGAATTGTTGAAGAGCGACCTGGATTATGAGCTGGGAATCACGAGCACGTTTGAGGCAGCGTTCGAGTGCGGTGCAGAAATCTAGGGTTTGGAGACTGTTGTCGAAGTAGTCCTCGACGAGTTGGAAAAGCTCGGGGGTTTTCCAAATGTCCTTTTTGCAATCGAGGATAATCTTGACGACCTCCTGGTTCATCTGGAGAAGACAGCCGGTGACCTCTTTGAGGGCATCAAAGGAGAGAGAGTGGACCTCGACTCCATCGGCGAGTGTTGAGAGGGCTCGGTTCATTTTTAGATGGAGATTCGTGTCGAAGCTTTGCAGATCGGGGTCGCGCTGGCAAGCAGCTTCGTAGGAGCTTAGATCCGCCGTGTAATGTAGCTTCTTCTCATCGATGGCGGCGGCAGCAGAAGCCCTAGGGATAGGGGACTCGGAACCTTTGCTGAGCTGACAACCCATAAAAAAAAGCTGGATTGGTTGACAAGATCTCAACTTTTTTGTGAGCGGATGAATGAAATGAGAATTGGAGACAGAAAGTGCGTAACTTTGGAGGTTTTAGGGCAATGATGGGAGGTTATAAAGGGAAGAGGGCAGAAGAAAGGGGAGGAAAGAGTAACAGCTTGTGTGGAGAGATAGCTTGCACGCCTTGAGATAACAAAGGCGAGGAGAGAAGTACAAGAAGCGCGGGAAGCAACTTCGCTGTGCCTTCTCACTTCCTTCTCTCTCAATAATTAGTTATTAGATGCTAAATTAAATAAATTTTTGCACGTTTTAGTATGCAAATCTAATTTTATTAAACTATTATAAATGTTTAATGATTTAATTATACTTAGACAATATATGATATGTGAGCGTAAAGACTTGGGTTGAAAAATAGCATATCATAATAAAAATATATCAAAATATATTTAGACAACTATTTGCATCAAGCATACACAGGATTTGTGCACTTTAGTATATGGTTATCCCATATACATATCTATACAAAAGTGGTGCAAATGTACAATCATCTACACATTATGAATACTATACATTTGAGCATCAATTAATTTGATAAAAAATTTCAAAATGGTTAAAATTCTCTTATATTAAAATTGCATTTCTATCATTACTTTTTTATAAGGGCATATCATACAAATTTATACGCAAATATGTTAAGTGTAGATTTGCAAGCTAAAATGCAGAATAATTTATTTCATTAATGCTATGGTGACTCAATTGTGTGAACTAAGATAAAGCCATAGTTTATAAAAAGGGTTAAATAGCCAATGGGTACAACGATCATTTGGTTATGACAAGTATTTAACCGGTTATCTTATATGAGTCGTTGTATATATATATATATATATATATATATGTCAAGGGAAAGAAAAACTCTAAGTGCGAGGTGAGGAACCAAGAAGGGTTGTATCGAAATCAAGATCAATAGAGAGCTAGAGGAGATTGGGCCGTCCTTGAAATTGTGTGGGGTAATCTTCAAGATTGTCTTAGTAAATTGTTTATTGATTCTCTCTTGTGGATGTAGGTCCTATGGGCCGAACCACGTAAGTTCTTGGTGTTATTGTTTACATTCTTCTTTGAGGTTTCCCTTTTCTTGTTTGGTTGTCCTGCGGTTCTCTTGGCAGCAAATTTTGCTAGAATTAGGATTCAATAATTAATTATTGAGAGAGAAGGAAGTGAGAATATAGAACATAATATATAACCTGAATAAAGTCTAATTAATCTTTGATCATTTGCTTAAGGCTTAATATATTTACTTACATGTAATACTTATATTAAGCTTAATTATCCATCTATTTAAATGCTCTACATCATTTGGTTTCGTATGTAATAATAACATATCCAAGAACTCCTTTTGTTTGGTTTGAGTTTAGGATTGCTAATGTTCATTTTTTCTTTTTACACGACAAAGTTGACCACTTTCTTGCAACCTCAGGACCCGTCATCCCTTCTTTCTGCTTACATGTCTGGCCATTTATTACCTTCATCGTGTAAGCTCTCTCTCTCTTTCTCTATCATAAATTGTCACCCTTTCCTCCCCTTTCTTCTCCCCTTCACTGAAGAATTCTTTTGAGTTTCAAGCGTGTGAGTTTTAGAGAAGAGATTGAGAGAAGAGAATGAATAAAAAACCAGATTACAACTTATATTTATATACATGATGACCAGCCTGAATCATGGAAAAAATTCCACAATTATGGTAATTTCTAAACAGGGAAATATCTAATAAAATCTGTCATAAATAGGGAAATATCTAATAAAATCTGACCTAATAATAACAAATAATTGAGTGAATAACTCCTAATAAATACAGAATAATTACCTCCTAAAATTACGACGATTCCACAATAACTCCTAATAAATGCAGAATAATTGTCTTCTAAAATTACAATGATTCTACACTCCCCCTCAAGTTTGGTTGTAAAAATTGTACATGTCTAACTTGTTACATAATTTTTCAAAGTTGATTCTTGGGAGATGCTTAGTGAAGATATCTCTTGTTTGATGTCGGGAAGAAATGTATGCAAGTTCGACGACTCCTTTCTCAATGTTTTCTGAGATGAAGTGTCGGTCGATTTCGATGTGTTTTGTTCTATCATGGTGTACTGGATTCTTTGCAATCTTGATGGTTATCTGGTTGTCGCATTATTGTTTGACAGTTTTTTCGGTTAGCATTTTGAGTTCGCCGAGTATTCTTCGAATCCACATTCCTTAACAAATCTCGAGTGCAAGAGCTCTGAATTCAGCTTCAGCGCTGCTTCTTGATACCACAGGTTATTTTTTGCTTCTCCAAGTGACTAGAATTTCCCAGACATAAGTGCAATAGCCGGAAGTCAATCGTCGGTCCCCTGCCCAGTCTGCATCTGAATATACTTCTATACTTCAATCCTTATTCTTTTGAAATAGTAGCCCTTTGCCTGGAGTCATCTTGAAGTATCTCAAGATTCTGTAGACTGCATTCATGTGTTTTTTCGTAGGGTTGTTCATGAATTGGCTAACAACACTAACAGAAAAACCAATGTCAGGTCGTGTGTGTGAGAGATAGATGACTCGCCCCACGAGTCGCTGATATATCCCCCTATCCACAGGTGCGCTATTTTTCTCAGTGTCGATCTTCTTGTAGGGATCCATTAGAGTATCGACAGGTTTGTAATCGAGCATACATGTTTCCTTCAACATGTTCGATGTATATTTCCGTTGTGACATAAATAGTCCTCATTTTGATCGAGCTAGTTCCATGCCGAGAAAAAAACTTTGGGTTTAAGAAAAAAACTTTGGGTTTCCGAGGTCTTTGATTTTGAATTCTCCAGTGAGAAGCTTTGTCAGATTTGTGAGTTCTTCTTCATATTTCCAGAGAGGATGATATCGTCATGTTGACGTATACGATTAGAATTGCAATCTTCTTTTCGGGAGAGGTTTTCATGAAGAGAGTGTGATCTGCTTGATACTGAGTATACTCGTATTTTGTCACCAATTTTGCAAAACTATTGAACCATGCTCGGGGAGATTGTTTGAGGTGGTACAATAATTTTTGGAGTTTGCAGGCTTTGTTGTTTAGAAAGGATGCTTCTAGTCCGGGAGGTGCTTCCGTGTAAACTTCTTCTTTCAAATCGTCATTTAGGAAAGCATTTTTCACGCAAGTTGATCTAGCTGCCAGTCTTCATTTGCCGCAAGTGAGAGAAGAATTCTAATGGTGTTAAGTTTGGTCACGGGGGCAAATGTTTCTTGGTAATTAATATCGTAGGACTGTGAAAAACTTTTTGTTATGAGACATGCTTTTAATCTCTCAATTGTACCATCTGTCTTGTGTAAATGACTTTGAAGATCCATTTACAGTTGTTTGCTTTCTTTCCCTTTGGCAAATCTGAAACAATCCATGTACCATTCTTTTGTAGGGCTCTTACCTCCTCATTGAAGGTCGCTTTTAACCTCAGGTGTTTGAGAGCTTCATCAATGGTGTTTGCAACTTGTGTGTTGTCGAATTCAGTGGCATAGGCTCAGTAAGTTGAAGATAGTCTTTCATAGGGCACAAAATTGGAGATCAGATGCATCGTGTGTTCGTACCTGAGTGGAGGTTGGATGGACCTAACACCTTTGACCTAACACCGACCTAACACCTTTCCTTAAAGCAATTGGAATGTTGGAGTCATCAATCATAGGTATGGTAGATTCATGCTCAAGTGTGTTCATACCTGAGTGGATTTTTGTATGAGTTGGATCTGATTGGATCCGGTTTTGACTCTTGAATTGGTGTTGGATGTGTTGGGTGTTCTATGTGCTTGTTGTGCGTGGGAGGTGGTGCAAGAATAGGTGATCAAGAATAGGTGACGAGTTGGACACTTGAGGACTAGACGAAGATTGATTGTTAGTTACATTTTCGCGTGAGTTGGATGAACTTGTTGGATCCGAGTCGAGAGATAAGGAGTTCGATTCAAGGGACAAGGATTTGGTGTGTGGTGGTATGAAATCGTTGTCTCCCTAAGACTGATATTCTCTTAAAGTCTCCCCCTGAGTCTCCCCCTGAATAAATATTAGAATTGGGGTAGTAAGGCTGATTTTCAAAGAAGGTGACATCCATAGTATTGTAGGTTTTTCTAGTGAGAGGAGAGTAGCACTTATACCCTTTTTGAAGAGGTGAGTAGCCGAGGAAAATACATTTAGTAGATTTAGGGTCAAGTTTGCTGTGATTGTGTGAATGAATGTGAACAAAGGAAAAGCAACCAAATACTTTGGTAGGTAGACTTTTGGTAATTGCTTTGGCGTGGGAAAATAATTTGAGAAGGAGTTGGACTGGACTTTGAAATTTGAGGACCCGAGAAAGCATCTTGTTGATGAGTTGGCTGCAGTGGATACAACGTCACCCCAAAAAAACCTTAGGCGCGTTAGAGGAAAACATGAGGCAGCGGGCCACTTCGAGAAGGTGGCGGTTATTGCGTTCAGCAATCCCATTTTGTTGAGGAGTGTCGACACAAGAACTGAGATGGAGGAGGCCTTTAGAGGAGAGATAAGATTCGAGAACGGAAGCGAAGTACTCCTTTGCATTATCAGTCTTGAGTGCCTGGATGGAGGTTTGGAATTGTGTTTGAATCATTGAGTAAAATTGTTCAAATATGTGACCGACTGCAAATTTATCTTTCATTAAAGAAGACAGACCACCGAATCCCGGTAAGGGTTGTAACAAGGGATGAGCCTCAGATATCGCTGTGAATGAGTGCAATGGGCCGAGAAGAGGTGTAACCAACACGTGGAAATGACGTGCAAGTGTGTTTGACAAGTTGACGAAATTCACATTGAAAAAAAACAAACATCTTTATTGATAAATAAACTTGGAAATAATTTTGCAAGATACATAAATTTTAGATGGGCGAGACGAAAATTTCATAACATAATCTCAGAATCTTTATTGACACTAAAATTGAAGACAAAATGATGGGTAGAAAAATGTTCGTAGCGAGGTCATAGTGGTGAAACACTGTTGATGAAGTAGAGACCACAGCACAACTCTAGCATTGCCAATCGTTGTCCCCGAGTCCGCATCCTGAAATTCACACTTGGTAGGGAAAAATTTAGTAATACACCTCAGATCACCAGTCAACTTTTCTATGGATATTAAATTACAATTTAAAGTAGGAACATAAGCACAGTTCGGAGTAGAATGTTTTGGGTGATGCACACGAAGCCAAATTCGTTGACTTTGGAGACAGGGTCATCGG